TTCCTTTTCTCCGAAGTCTTCACCTGATTGTTTCATTCCTAATATATGTTGTTATATACATGGATGAAGGAACGAGGGCATCTTTGCCGGACGGATGTCAATCCAACTCTTTTCATTTGATATCTATCATGGATTGCGTGGTTGATAAATAGAATGATTATGTAAGCGGCTACTGCATGATAAGGAAGGTTAAAGAAAACTAACAGCCAATCAATGCACTTGTGCTCCGTTCTCGCGATCCAGTCTCTTAAATGTTTAAATCTTTACATATACACAAACCGAATGATGCAGGCGTAACTAGCGCTGGGAACTATTCCACGAAAAGGGCACCACTGAACGAACTTTGTCCATGCTAGGGAAACTCATAGTGTCATAGAGTAATTGTTAGACCTTCCGAATCGGTCCTTTTTCGGATTTCACAGTTATACATGGCCGCAGTACCCACTAAAATAGGGGTTCAATTCAAACAAGATGGGACAAAACACGACAAGCGAGAATCAACTTCGACACCTCTATGGTCAGGCGATCAGGAGTCTTAAAAGAGGCGTCGGAATCAAGAAAATTCCCTCACTGCCGGTGAAAATGCTGTTGACAGTGATCCGAATCTTCAAAAAACCCCAGTCTGCCAAATTGCAGTACAGGGTTATCAAAAGAAATTTGCAACGGGTCTTAATGGAAATCAATACTTTAAGAAGGTGCAAATTAAATGCACAGCCTTATCTGGCACAGGTCCGGGTTATGCGTCGTTTGATATATGGTGAGGGGGATACTTTATGTATGGCTCGGATGGGCTTTGGAAAGCATCTTATCTTCGACGCATACTCCACCACTTTGGCAAAGAAGATCACCATTCAAACCGTACCGCCATCCCCGGGCGAAGAGCAACTCCGCGATATCAAATGTCTTGCGGGGAATAAACAATGTCTGGTGAATGTGGAGCAAAAGAAGCATCATCGAAAGCTATTCCAAAATATTCGGGAAGGAATATACAGTCATAGCCTTATTGATCTTCCTTTGGGCCCAGAACCAGAGACTGTGTCCCCCGTTCCTGTTGAAGAGCCCCTGTTTGTTGAAGAACAGCCAGCTACACCCACTCCAGCTGAGCCTGTACCATCTGAGGCTCCTGCTGTTGCTGATCCCAGTCCTGAAAGTGCAAATCAGCCTGTCTCTTCGGAAGCAGAGTTCTGGGCCGCTCAACGAGCAGACCAGCCCCGACTACCTTGGCGCTGGGATCCCACTGGAGAGAAAAACTCTCAGCCATACACCCCTGCGATTGCCGGAAAGTGGTGGTCTCGCTCGGAAGACATGTTAAGTGCCATGTCCAAGAATCAGCGAAGTGATTTCAGCCACGTTGGCCGAATTATGGAGACTGACCTTGGTCAACAACTCCATGGCGATAACCGCTGCTCTCTCTGCGTAGAAAAGGGCGTTGAATGCTGGGTGTATTCTGATATCGGTGCTAAACAAATCAAATTCCCTGGGAGCACCTGTGCTCGCTGCCGGCTGTTAAAGCACAGAAAAGGGTGTAGCTTAAGCACTCGTGCCTCTAAATCCAAGCGGCTGCAGGGTAACCCCCCCATGCGCATAATCAGACATCTAGTTCCAAAAGACGGAGGGCCACCCCCTCCTGAAGCAAGTGGTATATAAGTCCTGTTGGACGTTATTCAGATACTGGGTCTCGGGCGGTGGGATGAGAATAAAACAAGCTTATGCCGTATTCATTTGATATCACTCTGGACAGGGATCAAGGTGGTCCGTTGACAACTAGGGCTTACGCTGCATAGTTCTGCAAGTCAGAATATGGAGGATCCCCGCGTTTTAATTGGTGGGCAGCGCCAAAGCCCACCTTAACATGCATTAGCTTGCCCTAGTCCATTTCCGGTTTAAACTATCCGAGATCGCTGAGATAATCAATTCATTCATTCACTTTATTCTGTACACTTTTAATCTTCATCTGTTACTATCCTACAATTGTGTCGGATTGATAGCAATGGTTCGCCATCAGCACCGCATATCTCGTCTGAGTGCTTTAATAATAATTCTACTATCACTCGTAAATCTGACAATCGCATCGTGTAAGTGACATTTTTACTATAATTGATGCTGTTATCCCCATAATTAATATAAGCTGCAGCACCGGCGTCATTCTGCAAATGTACCTGCTTTACCAATAGTACTATCATCCCTCTTGACCCCGCAAAACCCGAAGCGACCTCTCTGGTTGGCGCGTATCTCCTCAGTCGCAATGGCTTTGGCGATCATGATGGCGTCGCAAATGAGAAGAGAGGCAATAAATATCGTCCTTTAAGTTGCAACGACTGCAATCGGAAGTTCTGCTTAGACTATGACTTGCCCACCTGTAAGGGCGCAAAAGAGGACGATGTCTTTACCACTTGTTTCCGTACGTTAAACCCTAGTTCAGGTTACATGTCTGTTCTTCAGGCAGTTGTAGCACAATATCTACTAGTGCTGCTCCAGTAGACTGACCATTTGTCCTTTGCGCAGAACGGGATTCTCGGAAAGATGAGGCTATCGTGTTTATCTTTATCATTGCTACTGGAGGGCTTCTGGCATGGGCTGTTTGCAAGCCCTGGGTAGAAAAGTATATTGAGGTATGCTCACGATCATTGCACCTGGCAACTGGAGTGTTATCCTGATGTGCTTTGTGCTAATAATACTATAGGCCGCAAGGGAACGGCGTTCATACATACCGGTGTCTGAGAATGCACATTAATATCAGTCTGTTTGGCGGCTTTCGATACAATCGATATTCAGTAAATACTGTCTGCGGTATGCTGTGATCTATCATATAGATTCTTGTTCAAGTTATTACAAAGTTATGCTTATGAGATGGCGGTGGGGGCATGATATACTGCGGAATCGGGCCCTTGGTATAGGGGGCGCCGCACTTTTTTTTTTTCGAAAAGTATATCCATCTCTTCCATACTGCAATCGCACTGAGGCATTTTCACTAAAAAAACGCGGGGAAAGAAGGAAAACCGTGTTTTAGACTCCGGTAGTTTTGACAAAAAAAAAAAGATACCAAAATTATTTAAATACTCCGAGAATAACGGGAGATTTTTGTAAAAAAAAAAAAAAAAAAAAAAGAATTATATGAATTTAAATAAACGGAAATGAAGATCAATCAAGAAAAAACCAGAACAGCAATGAAGGGGATAAATTACACAAATCCCAGCAATAACCATCCACCAACCACGATCTGACCGCAGCGCCCAAGCACATTACAAATTGATCCGACTCACGACCACCCCTTGGCCCAGCGGACCCGTCACAAACAAATTCGCTTGCTTCTTGCCCTGGTTCTCATCCGGATCAATCGCTACCAGCACTGCCGTCGCTGCGGTGCGCAACACATGCCCATCATCCTGGAAGATCAAGGACTGGGTCCATTTGCCACCGCGCTTGTCTTTGGACTTGGTGGCCGCACCGGCCTTCGGCTGGACCAGCCAGACCATGACCGGGTCCAAGCCATTGGGAAAGGCGATGGCCTGCGCAAGACCCGCCAGCACATACCCACTCGCATCGCGCCCCGTTTTGGCCGCGTAGGGGTCCGCAAAGTAGGACGGATTGTCTAGGGTACAGGGCAGCTGAATGGTCTCATTGATCTTCAGCCGCGGTGACGAGGGGGACTCCACCTCCGCCAGCAGGAGCTGGCCGATCGCGGTCCGGCAGATCATGATCTCGGACGGGACCTTCCCATGGCCTAGCCCGTTGTTGTTATGAATGCCCTTGTTGGCTACGGTGCCCACCACGCCCGCCGCGTCATCGACCTCTCCCTTCCCGCTGAGCGTCTGGGTGATGGGGTCCGCAATTGTCAAGTGGATCAGGTCGGTCCAAGGGGCCAACTTCCCATACGCGACGTCTTCCACGAGCCGCATGGCTCCATCCCGATAGTAATGGTCATTAGTCACGTATATATCGTGCAAAGTCTGGAAGTAGACATCATTGGGGGTGCGAATTAACGGGTGCCAGATCGACCGCAAGTGGGTCGCTTCGTCCGAGCCAATGCGATGGTGGAAAATCTCCAGCCGGGAGCGGGCCTGGGGGACCTTGGATGGCTTCGGGCGCGTGGCGGCGCTGTAGAAGGCGGGATTGGGTAGATGGTTCACGGCGACAATGTACACGGAGGTGGGATCGTTGGGGGGCGAGTAGAGATCAATACCGTGGGTGTTGAAGGGGCCCTTGAAGTTGCGCAGCTTTAACCGGGTTGCTTTCAATGTCTGCACGCTTGTTAGTCCGTGCGACGACGGGGCGCATGTCCTGCGCGAACTATACCTTGGCGTCAATGACAATGATTGTGCCCTGTCCAATGGTTTCGGGCTTCTCCCAGTGCATCAGTCTGGATCCGGGCTCCGTTAGCAAGCTTTCAATTGAATGTTCTCCAGGCTCTGTCTCCTAAAGAGTCACTCACGGCGGGAACCATGTATTCCTAGTCTTCTCCTCTGCCTCGGAAGCACCAAATAGCTGATGCGACGCCGCATGATAATGCAGATCTTCAGTGAATAGCGTATCGGGGATGATCTGGAGGTCCTCCCCGTGGATGTTCTGTATCTTGCCGAACAATCGACTGACACCGAGGACTTTGATGCGCAGCGCAAGCGGCGCAAACGGTGCCAAGAGGAAGGAAGCCATCAAGAAAATGAGTGGGCCCAAAATGGAGAAAGACGGATATCGGCGAGACATGGAGAAAGACCCCACCACAATGGCCCGGGGACGATGATCTTATATAGCGAGAGAATCACGACCAGAATGAACGAGAGTCCGAGACAATCGTCGCAAAGCACATTACTAATGGGCCATGAGAATTTTGTCAGCCGCTGAAATGGCGTTGTCCACGTCTCGTTGCACCCTTTACTCGGTCACTCGGGTCCGGACCCCGAGCGTTAGGATTAGGTCCCAGTGGGTCACGGATCTTCTGGACCGATCAGGTAAATATAATAGCGATATATATTTACAATTTACCCATTTTTACCGAACCAGTCAGTGTGGCCGAGTGGTTAAGGCGATTGACTCGAACTCTCCTTCGGGACAAATTCGTTATCAATTCCGTTCGCGGGCGCATGTTCGAATCATGCCGCTGACGATATTTTTACTTTTTTTTTACATCTTTAAACTGTCTAGTTATTTGATTGATTGAAAGTATCTAGCTCTGCTAGTTTGGAGCAGCCTTGATGCCAATCTTGATGCCATAATTCACTGTTGTATTGGCTTTGCTTCACCGCTCTAGATAGATACCAACAGGTTTAAGCCCTTTTTGATCTTTCCAAAAACCATGGTATAATTCTAGCCCTACAAAGGTACCTTAAAATGCCTATAAGACCATCCATCCCTCGATTATCCACCTTGCTCCGCAAGAAACCTTTTTCCATGCCTTCTCCCGGGCCGCCTTTGTCGCCCTACATACTCGTTGATGAAGAGACCTCGCCAGTGTATGATTCCAAGCACTTCTACCCAGCAAAACCAGGAGAGGTACTCGCCAATCGCTACCAAGCCCTGATAAAAGTCGGCTGGGGGGTGTCTTCAACCGTATGGCTCGCACGTGATCTCCAAGGGTAGCCTTCAACAATCTCTGCTTTTTTCGAAGCTCTCTTTGTCTCTAACAAGCGTACAGGCATGTCGAAGAGCCAGAGCGCGTATTGGCACTGAAGATCGTCAATAGCAATGCGAGTGCTGCTGGCCATGAGCGCGAGGTTGAAGAGCACATTTCGACGGCAAACGAATCACATCACGGCCGTTCACTTATCCGAACTCTACTAGATTCCTTTGAAATCAAAGGCCCAGGAGGTTCTTACTCGTGTCTTGTGTATCCGCCCATGAGGGAGCCACTGTCAATGTATCAGCGGCGCTTTGTTGATAGAAAGATGCCGCTGCCGCTTCTTAAAACATATATTCGGGCTCTTCTTACAGGGCTTGAATATCTCCATCATGAATGCAGGGTAGTTCATACTGGTAGGTTCAATTCTCAGCCTTGCTTTCCCGTCAGCGTGACTGAACCTAGGCGGCTGCCCAGATCTGAAACTCGAAAACATCATGGTCACGTTCGAGGACCCAACCGTGCTTGCTGATTTTATAGATACTCAGCTTGAGAAACCGATGGCATTCAAAATTGATTCTACGGGGCGACCAGTGTATCAGTCCTGTAATGACTTCGGACCACTTAAAGGCTTGCGAAGTGTACCGCAGCTGGTTGACTTCGGCTTGGCAACCAGACTCGAGGAAGATGACGACTGGGGCGTCTGGCCTATTCAGCCAGACCACTATCGGGCACCAGAGGTAGTACTGGGCATTGGATGGCAGATGTCTACGGACATTTGGAACTTTGGTGTTCTGGTGCGTCCTGTGATTCTTTGACATGGCCATACCCACTAATATTAGCACAGTTATGGGATTTACTCGAAGGCAAAGAGCTGTTTCAGCATATATATGATCAAAACGGTCGCTACGACGCCAAACTACACATTGCCGAACTGATAGTCTTGCTCGGTCCGCCTCCCTTGGAAATCATACAAAGGTATCAATGTATGCGAGAGTACGCGTGGCCTGAGCCCGTCCGCCGAGAAGACGACAGAGTATGCGAGACCGCGGAGGAGTACTTCTGCGGGCCATTCTTTGGCACTGACGGTATTACTGCTTTCCTGTCTTGGATTGTCTATTCTTAGGCTTATGACATATCTAGGTCACTTTCTATATGAGGATCTTATCCCTGAGCGGGGACTAGATGATACAGTTCCTTTTCTTCAAGGGGAGGAGAGGGAGGCGTTTCTGGATCTCGTCAGGGGAATGCTCGTTTGGCATCCATATGCGAGGAAAACGGCGGGCGAACTGGCGAGACATCCTTTTCTTCAGTCGAAGTGACAAGCGTCTGGTTTCTGCGAATATTGCTAGCGAATGACTCGACTGGTTGATCCGGCGGCGGTGCCATCATACAACCAGCTAAGGTATAAACAGAGCTATGGTTAGATGGAATCTGATGAAACCTAAAAGTAACTTCTGAGCTGCTCTGGTTGGCCTTAATAGTATTAAATACTCTAGAAGAGGCTAGACATCAGCCGAATTTTCACCAGTCAAGTTCAACACCTCTTAGACTCGCTTTGGTTAGCTGCGATGGCACGCAAACGCGAGACCGAAAGCGGATGGGATGTCATACGCTTCTGGTCGACGCTTTCAATGCAAAGGTCAGATCGGAGATAGTAGTCAAGCGTATCTGGCAAAGTGGCCGTAAACACAAGGGGCGCAGTGAAAGGGGGAGAGGAGACTGCGGTGGTATGGATATACACCCTGCCCGACAAACGGGGACAAAGAAGACACCGGGGCCAGCGAGACGCTCACTTCTATCATTTGGTAGGCCCACCGACATCTTTCAGAACATGGACAGCAAGCCAAGGCGCCTCCACCTATAGTGTGGGTAGCGTCCACGACAAGGACAGTGTATTGGTCCGTGGTCATCTCAACAGTTTGCTCTGGTCGTGGTTTCTAGTCTAGTGAAATGTGTTCATCTCCTTGGTCAAAAGGTGGCACACATCACATACGATAGGACTAGGGGACCCGTGAACCTTTCGGTGGAAACGGCCACTTCCTCGAAGCAATTTGTGGTGATAGTTGCTCGCTCATAGTTTCGATGTATGTCTCAAAGAGACTTTTGTTTATGTCATTTGTTTGTTCCCAGCGTTCCATCGGCACCCAACCAGAGTCATCAGTACAAAGCTGGGTCTTGATGATATCCCACAAATAAAGCATGTCTTGATATAGAACCACCTGTTCATCATGCATTTTCAACTCCTCTTCAGAAAACAAGAACGGACAACTGCCTGATATGCCGAGAGAACCCCAGTCCTGCGACATGCGCAGCAAAGAGTTACGTAGCGGAACCATACTGCCATTCGAGAGAAGCTGACAACATGTGAAAGGCTCCCATAGCCTCCTATCAAGTTTCATTGCATCATAGACGCGTTTGTTGTATGCCAGGCTAGACATTTCGTAGTATTTAGACTGGGACGCCGATGCCTGCTCCCTCCTAGCTTGATCCTTCTGTTCAGGATCCATTTGGTCAAAACTATCCGGTAAGCTGGGGATGTCAGTCCCAGGGTTGTAATCCTTTGGCGGCCGGAGGAACTCCGGGAATCGAGCTTGTAGGAATAGAGGAGCAATTTGAGTTGACTGCCAATCAATTATTCCCTCAATGGTAGTTGGGTCGTCCAGAGAAACAAAAATATTTCCCAAATGCAAATCAGTATGCCATAGAACAGGGTCCGCTGCTTCTCGCACAGGGGGATGCTGTGATAGGGTAGGAAGTGTCGCCCTCACTTTCTGTAAAAGGTTGAAATATTCATCAAGGGATTGGCTCTCATCGAATCGATGCAGATGGTGCTGCACGTCACTCTTCGAGTCCGTCACGGTATCTAATTGCCGTTCAGGGATAGAGAGTGCAAATTCCAAGAATGAAGCCCCTTCGATTTGTCAGATATCTGAGATCAAGTGAAAAAATACGAAATCACTTACAGGGGCCGACATTAGACATAGGTTTACACATGCCGGCAAAACCTTTATTCCACATAGCTCGATTACAGGACGGCCCGACACAGAACAACCCAGTAGGATCCAGATGAGGCGGAAGTGGATGATGGCGATATCCATTAGGCACAGACTGTCGCAAGAAGAGACTTCCATAGGCAGGAAACTTCAGCCCCTCAAGCTCCTTCTCCATTTCAACAATTCGATCAATTATCTTGTAGCGCTGTAGAGTGTTCATTGTTTCCCACCTCTCGCTGAGTGCAATTCCTGGAATCTTCTCCATGACGATGTATTCTGCGCCTACCGGGTTTCCTGGGTCGGAACTCCAAGCGAACACCTCAGGAACCCGAACCGACGTACATGATCGCACTGAAAATCAAGAGATAAGCAATCAGAATAGCCAGGAGCACATGCAAGAAAACATACACCATTTCAGAGTAGCCACCTCGGATGCCGTCGTCAGCGTGGGTGTGCCCGCATTGGGACAAGGGATCTTTGCGATAACCTCATTACCGTCATCCATTGTGAGGAGAAATGCTTTGTTGAAGTTCCCCTCTAACTTAACAATGCGCACGCATTTCGTTGCCTGGTTGAATAATGAGACAGCCTGGCGACACAGGGCCTCGATATCAAACTTCACAAAACGTTGCTCTAGTTGGTGTTCTTCGTCGACCAGCCATCGGCCTGAAGTGTATCTAAAGAGCTCATCTTGGTCCATTATCTTCGCCACTAGCATTAATTAGTATCCATGATATCCAATAACTTGTGAGTTACAGTAGAAGGTGAGAAAACGAACTGGTGTTTTCTATGCTAGGTTTTGTCACCGGTCTCAGGTGTAAGCACCGTCTAAAGGTCGGGGAGATATCTCGCAAACGAGCAGAAATTCTGGGATGACCCAGTTGCTGTGGTAAACAATGAATAGATAATTGCTTGCGCATCATCTTTACCATCTACTTAATGCAAGTTCCAACCGCACACACTGCCTTGTTTGCTGGGCAACTAAGGCTGGCGTGTGCGCTGAAGACACAAGGCTAAAAGATGCGTTAATAATTCAAAAGAAAATTGGATAACTTGCGGTTCTTGCAAACAAATCTATGCTATGCGACCGTGGGATAAGCGGTCGCCTGTAGACTGCAAGTCCCCTTCAAGCAGTCTGATATCAGGGCACATAAATAGTCCGGTTCATTGGGGCGGTCAGTTAAGCGGTCGGTGGTTAGCAGATCAGGTTGATCTTCAATGATTGTTAGAGTCATGTGACTCTCCTCATGTGGCACTGTATATGGGGTGAATCAAAAAGCGGCGTAGAGAAAAATACTAAATATATGACCAAAATACCAATTTCATATACTCCTTTACTTCAGGTGAATACACTAAAGTTTACAATTTACCAGATTCGGAGATACAGACACAGGATTGGCCAAGCTCGAAAACATTTAAACTATAATAGGGCTGACAGGCAATCTATGAAGGAGAGGCTACTTTAGAAGCATACGGGTGTGATTTGTGTGGAGAGCTAAGAGCAACATTTGGGCAACTTTTTGAAAGTATATGATTTCAATCAACATCGACCCA